TTTTTTCTTTGAACAATTCTAATGCTGCAAGTATAATTCACCATTGTTTCATGCATCTTATTCTCCTGGCTGAATTATTCTATGGGCACTATTGACAGTGATAGTGTTTCATGTATTATGCTTCTGTGCAGTGAACTGCAATGGATTTAGTTATGTTGTCCCTCAAGTGTGATCTTCTTACCTTCTATTTACATTTCGCATAGTAGTTCAGCAAATTACGTCTGGAGAATACTTGAATGGTTTATAGGATTTATTTTCTGTTAGGCATACGTTCAACAGCTTGAGAACAGTCGGCTAAAGCTCACACAACTAGAACAGGAGCTCAAAAAAGCACGTCAGCAGGTGTCTTTCATTGTGATTTCTTTAATTTGATATTATATCTCCGTCTTTGTTATTGCTTTTATTACTCGACGTCAGATCCCTTTTGATTTCATGATGTCCGAGCATTAATTTTCCTGACAAAATCGCAGGGTATGTTTGTGTCATCTGGAATTTCTGGAAATCAGAATCAATGTGTGGGTGGCAATGGTGGGTGAAATTTGGCAATCCTTTTCTATTGAGAAATTTTACCTGATGATTTTGGGGCCCCAAAATTGACCACTCAGATTGACAGTTCATTTTCCAATTAAATGCCATTCGTGTACTTGTTTATTTTTCTTAATGGCATACGCGTTTGTAGGGGCTTTGGCCTTTGACATGGATTATGCAAGGTGGCTAGACGAACATCATCGGCTGGTGAACGATCTTAGATCTGCTGTGGGTTCTCATGTGGGTGACAATGAACTAAGGCTTCTTGTGGAGAGTGTGATGTCACATTATGGTGAGTTATTCCGGCTCAAAAGCATAGGCTCAAAATCAGATGTTTTCCACATGCTCTCGGGTATGTGGAAAACGCCTGCCGAGAGGTGTTTCATGTGGTTAGGAGGTTTTCGCTGCTCTGAGATCCTCAAGGTAAATTATTATTATTATTATTATTATTATTATTATTATTATTATTATTATTATTATTATTATTATTATTATTATTATTATTATTATTATTAATACTACTACTTGTAAACGATAAATAAAAAACCAATTATTGTTGAAAAATGAGAAATGTCCCCCTGACACTTGTGTTGCTAATTCTCAAATCTTGCTTACCAAAAGGGTGTTTATCACACTAAAAGTCTAAAAACTTATCTCATTACGGAATTAATATCAGTTAAAGGGGATAATACGAATTTCGGTTGATTGTCAGAGTTGTGTTTACAGAACAGAATTTCCAATTCTTCTAATTCTCATGTTAATCATACATTTTCTTTTAATTTATCGTGATTTTGAATTCCAGTTGATTCCAAAATTTATTTATTTGTTCAGATTCTTGGAAACCAAATCGAGCCTCTAACTGATCAGCAGCTAGTGGGCATTTGCAATCTGCAGCAATCCTCACAACAAGCCGAGGATGCTCTGTCCCAAGGAATGGAAGCTTTGCAACAATCCCTTGTGGAGACCCTCTCCTCCAACTCCCTCCCCTCACGCCCTGCTCTCAACGTTGCTGACTACATGGGCCAGATGGCCATTGCTATGACCAAACTTGCCACGCTCGAGAATTTTCTCCATCAGGTAACTTTTTCTACCTCAGATTATGCACCAAAAACATGTGCACTTAGCGTTCGGAGTAGTTGTTGAAGAAAAGTTTGACTTGAAAGTTGTTGAATACTCCCTTGATGATTTTATATTGTCTTGCACGTTTTATTGGGGCCGAAATGTAGGACAGAATAAAACCTCAAGGACGGTTTCGTAATTTCTAAAAGTTACATCGTTTCTGTAAATTACACAAACCTTAACGAGGGAAGTTCCATATGAACTGCCCTGAATTATGAATCTATCAAGCAAATGTCAACCATTACTTTAAATGATAATAATTGTTTTGTACTTCTGCCTTAATTAGTAAGTACATCATATAAACCAGACATTTTTAACGAAGCCTTAAAATGGGTATTCACCGTTTACAGGCTGACCTTCTTAGACAGCAGACATTACAACAACTGCAAAGAATCTTGACCACCCGTCAAGCTGCGCGGGCCCTTCTCGCCATTAGTGATTACATGTCTAGGCTACGTGCTCTTAGCTCGTTATGGCTAGCACGCCCTAAGGAATGACTTGAAAAAACCCTCTTACATACCAATTTGCCCTTCCCTTAGCAGATGTTATGTAAATTATAAGGTAGTAATGTATCTTTTGCCTGTATTTTAACTCGAATAGTTGTTTTCAACACCAGATTGCTTAGTAATTCACCGGTGTGAAGCTGTTTCCTAATTGGGTGCATCATAACTACTCTCAAATGGAAGGGGGTGAAATGTTTTACAAATTGCAATGTTGGCTGTACTTGTCAAATTTGTGTAGAATTGCAAAAGCTGCCCCTTAGGTTTGCACTAGTTATCAAATACGGAGAGAAAAATATTTAAACTTTTTTTTTTTTTGAATACCCTCCTGTTGACTGTGAATAGCACAGTAAATTGCCTATATTTGTTAGGCATTTTTTTTTGGTGATATAGAAATTGATGTGGGGTCTATTTGTTGTACTCGAATAAGAATTTGATCCAGGCATTTCATTATACATTTACTTAAACAAAAGAACAAAGATGAAATTCTAAATCTTGAGGAAGGATTGCAAGAGAATAGAGTTTCAATCTAGGTCATTATTTTTTCCACTTTCTTGTTTGTCCTTCTTCTGCCCCTTCTTCTTTCCTGCAGTTGCATTCAAAATATTAAGATCATCATCATACCATACAAGAATATGGGAGATGCTAGGGTCCCGTTACGGAACTATTCTGTTGGAGTTTGTAACCGTTAGATCAACTATTCCCGACGATTACATGATGATCTAACGGTTACAAACCCAGACGGAATGGTTCCGTAACGGGATCATAACATTTACCAATATAGGATGTGGTTCAAATGAGAACCAAGTTTTAGCGTGAGAACTGTAAGACTTACTTGATCTGTTTCTTCTTCGAGAAGGCGCAATTTGGGGTATGAAAACCCCAGTCCCATTACCACATCTCCACAAGTTGACAATCCATGCTGGTACTGAATTTTCTTCATCCTTGCTCGCAGGCCAGTTGTAATACCCTCTTTTTATCTGAGCAGAGACATTACTAAGGCCGTGTCTGGCCGCCATCGTATTCTGATTCTTGATTTCGCGATTTTCTTCGTCGAAACCATCATCCTCTGCCGTCAGCTGCAAAACTTGTTCCCTAATCTCGTGATAGAAGCCATCACCTTCGTGTTCGAATTCGTTGAACTCATATTCATATTCGTCCGTTATTTGTAAGTCTCGAGGGAAAACAGTGTGGATATCCATGAGAGGGATATATGTTTTTCTTATTCTAATATGCTTGGTTTATAGCTGACAAATTGCATATGCTCATATATTTATATGGGTGTGAATTGCTTGAAGTGACAACTAAACATTAAAAAATAAATAAAAGTTGGGTTGACTTTGGTCAACGTTGAATAGCATTAGGAATGAGCATGTCGATGTAGTTTCAAATGTGAAGAAAATTCTTCCTTTTTTTAGTAAAAAGTGAACCTTTTTGATTTTTTGTCTCCCTTAATTAATGATTGTAGTATCAAATCTTTATATGGGGTGAAGTTAATTAAGATCATACCGCGTTTTGTTTTGTTTTGTTTTGTTTTTTTTTATTTGTGTTGATATATACCACTGGCATTATTATTTTCTCTATCTTTTGCTCTTTTTTCTGTCCATTCATCGTACACATTTTCTCTTCTAAATTATTGTTAAAACTAGTACAACTCACGTGAATTATACGAGTACTTGTTAAAAAAAATATTTAAAATAAAATAATAAAAACAACAAAAATTGTTTCAGTTTTCCATTTTTTTTTTTTTTGCAAAATTATATTATTATTTATATTTAAATTGACGCTGTCATTTACACGACTTACCATTATATAATATATATATATATATATATTATATTTAATGTATATCGAATAACTACTTTGTAACTAAGTTAATTTAAATAATTTAATTTTTGCGAACTAATATCAATAGGTAATTTAATTTTAATTTTAATTATAAAGATAAATAAAATTATTTTTATTTTATATGTATAATATAAATGTCAAATCAAAACGCATCAAGACATGATTAATTTGATATATTTGTATGTAGAAAATTGTTAATAAATGAATAATTTATTAACTTTTAAACATATTTATAATTTAAATTAGTAAATTTGTTAAAATTTGAAAGAAATATGATGAAAAAAGAAAGATTAAAAAAAAAATAATACCTTACAAACCACGTCTACAATAGGAAATGATATTAAAACATAATTAATTCTTTTAAAATTAACCATAAATATCCAATATATTTAAGGATCTTCCAAACCTAATTACTTTTGGATTGAAAATAAATTAAAATTCATTCAAGCCAAGCAACAAAGCTTAAAAGTTTGACACATTGGTTCCTGAAGAGTGTGAGCCTGCCACTTAGGCCCAGTACATTCGGAAATTATATATAGAGTGGAATAGACATGGTCAAATCCCGGGCCTGGCAGGTCTGCGGGTTTGAAATGGCCGACCCTGATCCACCCCGTATGTAGGTACGAGCCGAGTACACGACCCGACTGGCCGGGTCGAATCCGACTCCGATCCAGGACCCATCCTAAAAAAATTAAGATAATTTGTATGTTGGTGAAATGTTATAAATATCCAACCCAAGACAAGTCTGGTTTGAATCTGAGCACGGGCCTAGATCCTTTGACCACGGGTCTAACTAGGTTAGGTTCATGCCAGTTCTGGGCCGAGCGACCCATGGACATGTTTTGTTACAATACATGTTATCCATATCTCTAGCATATTGAATTAGTGATTAAATCAATTGCAACTAGTATTCTTCTTACTCTTGAGAGTCAAATCGGCATTTACCACCATGGCCAAAGTGTCGATCTACGCGTCGACTAAATAGAGCTTCTTTCATGCTGGTCTGATTGCCCAATGTAAAAAGAGTTGCCGCGCACAAATAGGGTATATATATGTGTCCAATCCCATAAAAGACGTGTTGTCACTTGTCTCCTTGCATGCGGAGGGCGACCAACCAACATGTCTACAATAACTCACCAAACATGATGATTTTACTTTTTTACTTAGTACAAACTGTAATAACGTAGACGAATGCACACATGAAAAATTATTGTAAAATATAAAAACAACACGAGCAAAACGTAAGATTATATTCTAATCATTTATTACTCCCTATATTTTGTCTTATACTCGACGATTACTATAATTCACACATTTAATCTATTATTACCATGTTTTTTATTTCAACTGTCACGTACATAGATGACAAGATTCGTCATCAATGAACAAGAGAGCAAACAGGAAACAATGAAGTTGTGTATTAAGAATTACAAGAATAAATAATAATTTTGTTAGAACTCAAGTATTTATCGCAAGTCTCAAATAGTTAAAAGTGCTACTTTTCTATATACACAAAAATCTTAATTTAATCTCGTATATCTTTCCTAATCTTTGTTCTTACAGTCACTAAATCCTTATTTAACGTTGATCAGATCCTACCATCAACATATGTCAAAGAAAATATGCATTGGACATCCTTAATGATATTGGTATGTTAGGTTGCAAACCTGCCTCTACCCCTATAAATCATACACTTATCAAACAAATTGTATGAACCCTCTATATATACAAGGTTAGTTGGTAGATTGCTTTATCTTACAATTAATAGGCAAGACATTGCTTTCTCTGTCAAATCTCTTAGCCAGTTCATGTCATCACCTACTGAAGAACACATGCATGCTGCACAAAGGATCTTAAAGAATGCCAAAGGAACTCTTGGCCTAGGTACGTACTATCTTTGACAAAAACTCTTCCTAATGACTTCATGCTTATTCCAATAGTGATTGGGCCTCTTGTATAGACACCATGAGAAGTGTAACTAGTTATTTGGTTTTTCCTGGTAACCTTTTAACATCATGGAAATCAAAGAAACAACTTACATTAGTAGGTCGAAGAGGTTGAATATAGGGTACTAGCGGCCACCTCATGTGAAATCAAGTGGTTCACTAACTTAAGTACTGAACTTGGCATATCACTCATCTCTCTTGTTTCTCTCCTTTAAGATTGCAAATTAGCTTTAGCAATGGCATCTAACTCTTCTATACATGAAAGAACAAAACACATTCAACTAGATTGTCACTTGATTAGAGAAACAATCATCAAAGGCCTCATTCAACTTCATATACCATATCCCGACATATGACCAAATAGTAGTTTTCTAACCGAAGCATTAGGCCTTTTCAGCACCTCTTATCCAAGATGAGCATGATAAACATGCTTCTCTTTTATTAATCAGGAGGTCGAACTCTAATATCGAGGTCGACACTTTTGTTACACTTTCGTTACACTTTGAGTATTCACGAGAATTTATTACAGATTTGAGGGAGTAAATGTGGAGAAATAAAATGTTGTAGAGTGTTCAACAACCCATAATAAATGAAATGAGATGCCTATCTATAGTATTCTCAATTTGGTACTGTTCGGGTACTATTCACCTCGTCCCATCGTACAACAACTTAGAGACGATAGGCCGACGCCGCTTTGACAGAAATTAAATGTGTTTTGAAGTTTCTCCAATGATTACATGGCAGACATTAAATGCACACACGTGGGGCATTTAATACTGACAGGCCTCCCTGTCTTGCTAGATGCCCTAGATTGGTAGACTAGGGTGATGCGTCCCATCGACAATCATTAGCCGACAAGTTGCTATATTATATTATGTTTTAGCCTTGTGTTCATGCGGAGGCCGGCCTTGTCGAATCTTCAGGTCGGACTCTCATTGCCATTCCATCTCCTAGCCTTCGTGGTTATGTTTATATTCTCGGCGTTCGTGTAAGTCGACATCGTCTACTGTCCACTCCAAGTGTCATTCTCGAAAAATTTTCAGCACATCATTCTAGTTTACTTTATTCTTTGACCAGCCCGGCTCCTCGAGACAACCCGGATACCAACTCGGTTCTCAGGGTCGGTGCTGACCGATCCGTTGACATTAGTTCGAGTGTTCCTCTGGGCTCAACTAGGATATCAACACATATGTATGCCTTTCTTAGAATGAGAAAATTCAAGTCCTAGAATATATTTCAGTTGACCATATCCTTTACAATGAAACATGTATCATGATGAGACTCAGTGGCTTGTATTTTTGTTTAAATCATTACTTGTTAAGATGATATCATCTACATAAAAAAGCAACACGGTAAATGAACCATTTTCAGACATGTAAAACATTGAACAATTAAACATTGATTGGGAAAAACCATAAGTAAACTTGACACGCTTGAGAATTTTCTCCATCATTTAACCTTTTGTAATTCTGAGATTATGCACCAAAAACATGTGCATTTCATGTTAACTCTAATAATGAACAAAACCGGCTTCACATCTGCAGTTACATAATGCCTCGTCCCCAAAACTACACTTAACGTTCGGAGTAGTTGTGGAAGAAATGTTTGACTTTGAAAGTTGTATAATTCTCCCTTGATGTTATTTTGCTTGCACGTTTTATTGGGGCCGAAATGTGGGACAGAATAAAACCTCAAGGATGATTTTATAATTCCAAAAGTTACATCATTTCTGTAAATCACACGAACCTTAACGAGGCCAAATTTTCATATGAACTGTACTGAATTATGAATCTATCAAGCAAATGTCAACCATTACTTTAAATGATAATAACTCCAAACATCAAGGGTAGTTTTCTTCATCTCCCTTAATTAGTTAATCACATAAACCAATTTTTTTAATTTTTTATGAAGCCGTAAAATGAGTATTCACTGTTTACATGTAGACCTTCTTAGACAGCAGACAGTGCAACAACTGCAAAGAATATTGACCACCCGTCAAGCTGTGCAGGCTCTTCTTGCCATTAGTGATTACATGTCTAGGGTACATGCTCTTAGCTCGTTATGGCTAGCATGCCCTATGGAATGACTTGAAAAACCCTTTTATATACAATTTGGTATCCTCTTAGCAAATGTTATTTAATTTATGAGGTAGTAATGTATCGTTGCCTGTATTTTAACTTGATGGGTTGTTTTCAACATCAGATTACTTAGTAATTCAAATGTGTGAAGATGTTTCCTAATTTTGGTGCATCATAACTAATATCAAGTGAAATGGTGTGAAATATTTTACAATATTAGTTGTACTTTTCAGTTTTGTGTAGAATTGCAAAAGCCAGTCCTTAGGTTTGTACTAGTTACCAAATGACAAATAAAGAGAGAAAAATATTTAAACATTTTTTTTTTTGTTTTTGAATACCTACTTTTGACTCTATAAACAATAGAGTAAATTGCCTATATTCGTTAGGCATCATTATTATTATATTTTGTGAAATAGAAACGGATGTGGGGTCGATTTGTATATGGATAATTTGTTGTAGCAAATTGTTTTCTTTTTACCGAGTACCAAATCAAAGATTCGTTCCCCGGGTCGATCTCTCGAGGAAGGCGGTTCGGAATTTAGAAGCGTTGTTGATAACACATAAACGAAAAATAAATCCTAAACATTCTAATCAAGGTGATTGGAATTAATTATCAACAAACAATGCAAAATTGAATTTAAAAACAAGGACAAAGATCAAATAATGATAACAAGCTAAGGAGTCAGGGATGATGATTTTCTAACCAATGCGAATATCAAGATAAGATCATTCGGTTAAGTGAATTGAACAACCCAACGTCTGGAAATTAGTCCTCAATAACTCTTCGTAACAAGAGGGTAACATAGACGGTAAATCAAACAAATCACGCAACACATAGACAATACGTTTCCGAACAAGTCTATTTCATGCGAGCCTAGATCGGTCAACTCCTCCCTTTTCGGTTCTAAGAGTTGATTAATTATCCTATACGATTGTTAATCTACTAGTTCCTTGGATTTAAACACATCACACAACACACAAGAACGAATCATATTCAATTGAAAATTAAATCGAAGTGTCACTCTTCGACAATAATCAACATCCAATGCACGAGAATTATTAACCCTAGTTAAGCACAACTCGCCTAAATTGAACGATCAACAAGCATGAAAATTACAATTAAATTCGAAACATCATCATCATCACCTATCCCTAGCGAAACGAATTAGCTACTCATATGGAATTCAAAATCAACAATCTCAACAATCAAAGCCATCATATTCATGGATTAGATAAAAAAAGAAACTTATGATTAATAGAAATCCGATATTCGAATCCAATGACAAAGCTAAATCTAGAAAAGTAAAGAGAGAATGGAGCAAAAAAACGATCTAAATACGAGTTTTAGAGAAGGAGAAAGTGAAAAACAATATTGGGGATTATTTCCATGAGTCTAAGGATCGTTTTGATATATAGTGCGCGAAAAACAGAACTAAAACGAGTAAAAATAAAAACGAGTTTTCACTCGCGAGTCGCCTGGGTCGATGGGGCTGGAGCTCTCTGTTAAACTTGCGGGGCGCGAGTCCTGGTTGCGAGGCGCGAGATGTTGGGAGCAGGGGGCGCGCGCGCTGGGCGTGAGGCTAGTCGCGGGTCGCGGCTCGCGACTTGGACTACACTGTACCTCTTCACGTTTTTGCCTCATTTGAGCTCGGTAGAACTCGGAATTGAGCGTCGTTTAAGAACCTCTATTTAATATGCTCTAGAAACCAATTTTTCCTGAAGAGAAAATTTGCCCGAAGCTCCCCACGTACACACCAAAAACGACAAAACACAAAAGAAACCCAGAAAAACAAACGAAAAACACCTAAAGACTCAAAATAAAGAAAAACACATAATAAAACATGAAACGGACTAAAAACCAAAGAAACAACCTAAAACTGGGGAAAAAGAAAGATAAAATAAACAAGAAAAAACGCAACAAAAATGGGACAAACAGTGAAATGTTTTACAATGTTGGTTGTACTTTTCAGTTTTTGTGTAGAACTGCAAAAGCTAGTCCTTAGGTTTGTACTAGTTACCAAATGACAAATACAGAGAGAAAAATATTTAAACATTTTTTGGTTTTTGAATACCTATTTTTGACTCTATAAACAGTAGAGTAAATTGCCTATATTTGTTAGGCATTATTATTATTATATTTTTTTTGGTACATTATTATTATTATTATATTTTGTGAAATAGAAATGGACATGGGGTCCATTTGTACATGGATATTAGATTTTTTTTCTGTTGCATTTTACCTTTTTTTTTTTT